TCTCATACTCCGGAAGGGTAGGGTCTGTTTTTTATTTTGCAGTGCTTTCAGATAAGCAATATCATCTTTCCGTAAAGGGGCTGCACATTGCTGTCCTCAGTTGGAGAATGAAAATCAAACAGCCTGCGATGTTTTTTAGTTTGCAAGTCGATCTCCTAGCACAGATCGCATCATATTAAATAAAAAAGATGTTTTACTTGAACGCCTTCCACTCGTATCGCCCACACCGGAGTCGATCAGCACGTGTATTCGTCGGGTCCGTTATTTGACCGCACTGTCCCCAAGACGGTGCCCGGCCGATGGCCCCCACATGAGCGCAGAAAAGTTCACAAAACCCAACTTTCCATTCCTGGCGCCGGACTGTGCCCCCCTCCCCCCCCCCCCCGCACCGGCGGTGGCCGCTGTCCCCTTCTTCATAGGACCGTCAGAGGAAGATCGACCGTCATATCCGTCATAGAAGACCGTCATATCCGTCATATGTGGGCCGGAAGACGGGCCGGCGGCGGTATGGTCCGGCGGGGCCGGTCACAGTGTGAACCGGTCTTGGCTGGGCCGGAAGACGGTCCGGCGGCGGTATGGTCCGGCGGGCCGGTCACAGTGTGAACCGGTCCTGACTGCTGTTTGTTTTATCGCATAGTAAAAAGTCCGTCGTATTTCGTTTCGCTTCAATCGAATAAGCAGCAATCGAGTATCTGTGCAATCACGTATCTTGACGCAATTCAGTTCCAGGGGTGTCTCGGCTGCAGTCACGTGATCGACGGGGGGGGGGGCGGGGGTGGGGGAGCAGTCACCAGGGGAGAGCCATGCCTCCTTTTCCGTCCTGAGCCAAGAGGCAGCTTGCTAGATATCACGCTAGGTATTGAGAGATTTCGCAAGAAGATGGTCCAAATGGTCATCAGTTCGAAAAAAGCTAGGCATTTCTTCCCACTTCATTCGGAAAGTTCTGGGTGTATGCCTGCTCAACAATAAAGTTATTTGCGCTCTGATGAGACCAGATATCACGAAGGATCTTTTGTGGGATGTAAGCCTCCGTCGTTCTTCAGTGGCGGAGAAAAAAAGTATCTAACGAAGGGGTCCAAAAACAAATATTTACACATCCAGCTGATTTTCGGGCGCGCCATCTGTGGCTCATCTTGACACGGTGTGCCTTAAGCCACCAGCGGGGCATCGCCTGCAATGATGACAAAGGCGAGGCAAAGAGTCACGGGATATTTAATCCAGATGCGTCATCATTTTGTCCACCCGTTGGCCGCCGCCTAATGTAAGGTGCGGAGCCGACGCTGCGGCCTATGGAGACTGCAAACACGTGCGTCGAGGGTATTTTGTTCTAAGACTCAGGAGCGCACGTTTAAAAACTATGTCTGTAATGTTTTAGGCATCGATTTCCGACTGAATATTGAACATTCAAGAACGAGCAAGGGTTGGTCATGTTAATGCAATAACACAGGTGTAAAATAGCGCCTTGCGCCTGCGAAATCAAATGACCCTAAAATCCAATACTATCTACCTTCCTTAGTGAGGATGGTCGACTATCATCAACATAAGAGCTTCGTCTAATGATGCCAAAAAAAACGCGAGTCCATGCTTGCTCGGAAGAAGCAAAATGTTCAGAAGAGGGCTGTGTTCTATTACATTCCAGCGTTGTACATTTTACATTTTAATTTATATTACTTTTGAATATGTATAAAGGCCAACAAGTGGAGCGGCTAGCATAAGCTGACCCGAGTGGGGCCGTACCCGGACATCCGACCAGCCTGGATTCTTATCAGACTGACCCCGACAGCAAATAACAGCATTTATTAATCAGATCAGGATCAGAACAGGATTCACACACTGGAAAATTATCACCTACAAAACCTCCCAGCATCGCCTGCTTTCGGCGACGCTACCGGCCGGATGCTGCCTGAGCCCCTCCCCCCCCCCCCCCATCCAAAGACGGGACCATCGCTACCTCGGACGAGACGCCACTTCGTCGCGAAAATGGAGCTCGCGCAGACCTTCATCAAAGTGTGTTCACCTGGGAGAGCCGTGCGCTCGGCGCCCGCCCCGCCCCCGGTGCAGCGCGCTCGCACGGCGGGCTAGCAAGCAGCCAATTCAAAACTAAGTCCCCCGAGGCGGCGCGTGCTCAAAGGCGGCTCCAGGCGCTCCGATGAGGACAAATAGCATACTTGGGTCAAGTTCCACCATGTTTGATGGCTGTTAAGTTCAAAGGGAAGTCGGAGTGAACGGCGGGCCATAACTATTTGTATATCATTGCGATCTGAGAATGAGCTCGGTTTAAGTGAAACTGATTGCGTGGCAGGTCGGCGCCGGTGCGACCTCAGGTCAATCGTGCCGAGTTTTATCCATATGCTTATCGATGTTTACATACCATTAGCTTCCATTCGCAATAACGCATTATGTGGGTTGGGACAAGAAACACCAATACCACAGAGCTAATGCTCGACTCGGTGGCGAGTCACCATGGAGCGCAGGGCATACATTGTAAGGGACAGGATTTGAAGCTTTGGTGATGATTGGTCATATCACCAATATCATTTGATGATGATTGGGTGGTTGGTCACATTGAAAGATTTGAATGCATTTGTGATGCCGCTCACTGGCGCAAGCAAACGTGTTTCAATAGCAACATTTTAATCTCAATTTAATCTCACTTAACTGTTTGTCAGATATCGTCACTTCATCTGAAGCTTGGTTCAGACATGCCACAGCTGGGTGCTTACTGCCGTAGGTTTCGCTGGATGGGCATTACGCCATTGCAAGCGACACCGCTTGCCCGGTAGAGTCCGAACTTTGGCTCGCCCGCAATACTTTCCTTTCAGCGGTCCGGCCTGAGGCCCGGTCCGGACAACCGCACGGTGACTGGCCGTGTTGCGCCTGTTACTGATGGCTGAGACGGCGGGAGGGTCCTATGTCGGTCCGCATCCGCCCACGGCTGATGACCGAACGCGACCGTCCCCCAGCCCCACTGACGGCTGGGGCTGCCTCAGTCCCGCTGACGGCTGGGGCTGCCTCAGCCCCACTGACGGCTGGGGCTGCCTCAGTCCCGCTGACGGCTGGGGCTGCCTCAGCCCCCACTGACGGCTGGGGCTGCCTCAGCCCCACTGACGGCTGGGGCTGCCTCAGTTCCCGCTGACGGCTGGGGCTGCCTCAGCCCCACTGACGGCTGGAGCTGAGGCAGCCCCGCTTGTCAGCTGGGGCAGCCCCAGCCCCGCTGACGGCTGGGGCTGCCTCAGCCCCGCTGACGGCTGGGGCTACCTCAGCCCCGCTGACGGACGGGAGGCGGGTGGTGATTACAGTACGCGGGTGCTCCACCTCCCGGGCGGCATCGTACCGTGCACCCCTGACTGCAGTTTAAAATTCAAATTATATTAGATAAAAGCCGCAAAAACGCACTAGATTTTGGCAGATTTGCCCTCCTGACGTGAGCTTTAACAAATACCTTTTTTTAGCGAGCTAGAATACAACTGAAGGACCAACAAGAATCCGGAGTGTGGGATGGTAAAGAAGCCTTTCATGATGCAGTTTTTTAAACTGAGGCATTGTAACAAGGTGGTCTGTCCTACCACCGCAAACATTTCGGAACGTCCTGAAAAAAACAGAACACTCGATGACAGTCATATGGCCAGCAGATGACAAAACAACGACGTCATAGATCATGAAAAATGGATATACAACGGCAAACAAGATGACTGTCCTGTCCAATATCCTGTCCAATATCCTGGGCAGCATAGCATTTAATCCTGTGCCGCGTTTCCCATTCACCAAAGGTCGTACCACCAATTGCAGCGCATGACGTCAAGGGCGAGCGCGTCACAAGAGCCGCTACGGCTTGAAGGATAGTCATTTGTGTATGACGTAGGCACTTGCGACGTCATACCTGGTAGGTGATTTGTCACTGGATAATGCGGTCCTGGGTGGCAAGGCGTCTCATTTTTCATTGCTGTCACCTTCAGCGTGCATCGTATCGCGTATAGCCTCCCACCCTCACCCCATCCTCCTGCTTACGGCGGACCTCACCAAGCACAGTATGGGGTCAAACGGCGGGCACACCGACCTGTTCTAACAGGCCACACCACTGCACGATGGAGAGTAAGGCCGGGTGGAGCCGCTGGCTGTGGAGCTGGAGTCAAGGCCCGGCAGTAAAGCGCAGACCAGCAGCGTAATCAGGGCCGTCTCAGGCTGAGAGCATGTCAGCTGCCCTGTGGTGCGAAGAGAACGGGAAAAGCCAGTGGCTGCTTCTGCAACAGTGATGGCGCTTCGCCCGCCACAACGAAGAGCCCTACTCGGCCCGCCCTGCCCAGACCGTACGCTGCGCTAAAGCTCCCGTGCGCCGGGCCGGAAATGCGACCGAAAGGTATCAGCAGCGGCGATACCCGACCACGGCGTTCAAGCACATGGACGCGACTCGATCTTCACCCGGCACGGACAGCGCCACCATTACGCGAGGGGTCGTGTTCTTCGTGGCGGGCGCAGAGGGGATCCAGGCTGACGGGCCCGCCGTGGTTCATGCGCTCGGAGGCCGTCCTTGCCGCGCGCCAGGACGCTGCTCCGGCTCGTTGACCCCGGCGGGTTGTTGTGACCCGGGAAGAAGCGCCCACGTCCAGACTGCGCTGGCCCCCCGCCTCACGGCCCCCGCAGTCAAGGGGCGGGCGCCGCGCCAGCAGGCAGGGATGGCCGGACCTATTCCTGCCGGCCTTCTCCAAGCCTGAGTGCCGCTGCTGCACCACAAGCGCGAGGCGGAAGCCCCGCATGGACAACCCTGGTGCGGCGGCACTGCACTTTACCGCGTCACCGCTCGCATCCTGTTGACTGTTCAGCCACTTCGTCGTGTCCACCGCGCAGCCTGGGCCGGGAGCCCGCGATCGGACGTGCAACTACCGACTTCTCAAGTGTGCCGCGCCCAGGTTATGAACAGCTACTGCTACGTGGCGGCGACATTCAGCGTGGAGGGCTCCGCGGCCGCCGCCGCTGATGAGGCGCCGGCCGGCCTCGGCCAGGGCGGCGAAGCGAGGCATCACTCTTACTACCAATGGGTACCGTTCGTGTTCGCCCTGCAGGCGCTCACCTTCTACATGCCGTTCACAGTGTGGAAGCACATGAGCGGTAACGTGCTGCGCAACTGCTTCAGCTTTCAGCTGGATATGCCGGACACGACGATGCACGGAGCTCAACCAAGCTGATCTCCTTCGCGGGCTACCTCTCAGCTCGCATGGGACGCGTCAACCAGGGCCTGGTCAAGGCATTCTTCGTTGTCGAGTTCGCCTGCCTCCTGAACGTCATCGGCAACATCTTCCTGCTGGACGCCTTCCTCGGCGTCGACTTCGGCAGGCACAGTGCGGTTCGGCTGGCCACCTTCCTGCGTCTGCGCACAATGATGACAGCGCGGACACCGTGTTCCCGCCGGTCGCCAAGTGTACCTTCCTCAAGTACGGCTACTCAGGTACCATCGAGCGCATCGACGCCGTCTGCGTGCTGCCGCACAACGTTTTCAACGAAAAAGCGGTTCGTGTTTCCTGTGGCTGTGGATCTCGCTGCTGGCTGGCCGTGACGGTTCTGCACACGGCCTCTTCCGCGTCGCTTCGCTGGCCGTGCCCAAGGTGCGGCGGAACGTGCTGCTGGCGCTGATGCTGGACGAGTTCCGCGACGACGGCCGCCCAGGTGTTTGAGCAGTGCACCGTGTACGACTGGTTTCTGCTCTGCAACATCGCCAAGCGGATGGACACTCTGGCCTTTAGCGAGCTGGTGCATCCACCTAGGCCGTCAGCCACAAGGAGCTGCTGCTGCCGGTGCTCACCGCGCCCGGCATGTCCAGACGCGCCTCGCAGTGGTCGGAGGGGCACCGCCGCTCCACCGACCACCCCAAGGTCACCCCCTGACGGCACGGCTGCCGCCACCACTCGGCTCGCCAGTTCGCAACCTGACAGAGCTGGGGCCGTGTATTGCTATTACGCCCCGCCGAGCGGACGAAAGAGGCTGATGACTGATTGGCTGAAACCAGGCTGAGGCAAACACCGACGATAAGATCCTGACGGAAACAAAGACACCAGGCTTCTTGCAGCTATTGGTGTGTGGCAGGGTACACGTGGTCAAACGCAATCCAGGGTCCGATAGGTAGAAGGAGGGCAGCGACGCAAAAGCCGCTTGGTAGCAAAACAAAACCTATGCATTCCTGTTGATTTCTTTGAAATTTAATAAAACATGTGATGGATTGTACTGATAATTGTGTTTCAATCGAAGCGTGTGATATTATAAGCGTGCGAACATCTGTGAAAGGTGTTTCGGCGACCATGTCGGTTTGTATCCGTTACCAGTCGGTCAACTTGACTACTACGACTGGCATCCCTAATTCGAACGATGCCTCCACCCCGGGAGAAGGGAGGGGGAGACTGCTGGCGCCAACACAAGTGACGCCATGCGCGTTTCTGCTGATCATCACGACATAGTGTACATTGCAACTGATGTTACTTTGCCGTCCATTGCTGAAATGGCGTTTTAGAACATGTCCCAATAAACTATTTCCGAAGCAGCGTTCTCCGTCACCCCATGGCATCGCATCAGCATGACGTTTGCGTTACCATTCGCTTCCGATTTAATGGAACGCCCTTCCTGCCATGGTGCCAGCCGATCCAACCTGTCACCCATTCTGTATGGGTACCAATTGGTTCACCAACCTTTGAAGACCTCTAAACGGAAAACAAGACTAGGGGTTTGAATTGCCCATATGCCCGCTCCTCCTGCCAGGATGAGAGGCGGGCGATGCTATATAGTCTCAGCAGTTGAGCGCGTCGTAAAGTCCCAATGACTCATAAGCACGCACTTCTCAGCGGACCGAGCGCTCATCTTTCTATGGCGAGCGCAGCAACAACAACGCCACCTCTGCTGCCGGCGGCCAGTCAGCGCCCTCTACGGACCGGAGCGTCACCTGCGGAGCCATACCTACTGACAGGGGCGCCACCTGCTGAGCCACGCCTACCAACAGGGGCGCCACCTGCGGGGCCATGCCTGCCAACAGGGGCGCCACCTGCGGGGCTGAGTGGTCGCGCCGGCGTCGGTCCGCTCCACGCCGCGTGGCCGCCCACCCGCGGCGCCGTGAGAGTTGTACGTTAAGCTGAGTTGGGTGCTGGGCCTCGTCTCTCCGTCTCTCACTCTCCACGTCCACCGTATGCTTGGGTGGAGGTTTAGTCCCTCTCTGGTCAGCTCTTCGTGGGGTGCCCCCGTTGTCAGTGTTGGCCTACGTGTATCCTGTCTGCGACTCTTTATACAATGAGGTATTGTTTTATTCCGCAAATGTACACCCGGGACTCAAAGAATGGAGAAGACCAATCCTTAGAGAAGACACCAGCGTCATGAAAGCCAGCCTGCATACCAAAGCCATGTGCTTTGTCTCGGTCTCGGGGCCGTGCCAGTTGTACCTCTCGGATTCACCGCTGCGACGGATCCCCGTCCTCCATGGACAGGAAAGCGATTTGCCATGCACTGGTCGACTACTTGTGATGAATTTCAACGGACAATGAACCATTAGAACTGCAACCGTTTTGGCACGCACTCACATAGCGACACGTGGATTGCTGCTAAATCTTGGGTGTGCAACATTCTAGCCATAAGAAATATCGATATATGCATAAGCATCAATGACCGCTTCCTCCTAAGTGTTCTTCACAGCACTACAAAGCAAGCTTTTCTTCACTTAGATGACGTCTCCCCCAAAATTTGTCAAAATTTCTAGTCCTGGGGATATGCCACAACCAAACTTTTAACTTCTCTCTCGTTATGTGGCTGATATTTAATGCCAACGTCTTGCGCTCCAGACATACGTGGACGCGTAGTGCCGTTTCTTCTTCGCAGGCCCGGATAATCCGTCAAGTACCGCGATTACTGAGGACCAGGAGGACATCCTGACCTGACCTGACCTGACCTGACCCGACCGGCCTCGAGTGCTCAACGTCTGTGGAAGCTTGTGAGTCACTACCGCAGGGAGGTACGGCCAGCGTCTCAGGCGCGGCGCCTGGCGTCAGATGGTTCCCTTTCCTGGATCAACTGCACGTGAGAGGAGGTGAGCGTCTGGAGTACATGTCGTTGCTGTTGAGGTGAACGTCTGGAGGACATGTCGCTGCTGTGGAGGTGAGCGTCTGGAGGACACGTCGCTGCTGCGGAGGTGAGCGTCTGGAGGACATGTCGCTGCTGTGGAGCTGAGCGTCTGGAGGACACGTCGCTGCTGTGGAGCTGAGCGTCTGGAGGACACGTCGCTGCTGTGGAGGTGAGCGTCTGGAGGACATGTCGCTGCTGTGGAGATGAGCGTCTGGAGGATATGTCGCTGCTGTGGAGGTGAGCGTCTGGAGGGCACGTCGCTGCTGTGGAGCTGAGCGTCTGGAGGACACGTCGCTGCTGTGGAGGTGAGCGTCTGGAGGGCACGTCGCTGCTGTGGAGCTGAGCGTCTGGAGGGCACGTCACTGCTGTGGAGGTGAGCGTCTGGAGGACACGTCGCTGCTGTGGAGGTGAGCTACTGGAGAGCACGTCGCTGCTGTGGAGGTGAGCGTCTGGAGGACACGTCACTGCTGTGGCCATCTCGTGTTGGGGGCCGGCAGCGCACGCATGTCTTCACACATATATACCTTTACCTACTTACATCCATGAGTTTGTAAGGACGAAGAAACAGACGTTCAACAAGGCGAGGTAAAAAGACGTAGTGGGGAAGACGTATATACGTCAGCTGCATGGCATAGGGGCGAATGGTAGCGCGAAATGCGGTGCTAATACGGCGCCATGTGGTGATGAACGACGCTTGTTCGCAACTAGTGTATTAGGACATTTTCCAAGACGCTATTTCAGTGATAGAAGAATTTCATGTCATCAGTTACGATGTACACAATGTCGTGATGATAAGCAAAAAAGCGCACGGCTTCACTCGTGTAAGGGCGATCAGCCTCACCTCACCGGGGTGGAGGCATCATTCGAATTAGGGATGTCAGTCAGAGTCAAACAATTTGACCGACTGGTAACAGATGTAAACTGACTTGGTCACAGAAACACCTTACATAAATTTATGTATCCGTAAACTACCGTACGACCAACTAAAAAGACACAAATGATCAGTTTAATGCATCCCATGTTTGGATGACTACCAATTATATCAACAGAGTGCATCATCTTTGTATCGCCACCAAGCAGTCCAGCCTTTATATTGCGCCACTGCCCTCCTTCTAGCCATCGGACTCTGGATTGCGTCTGACCACGTGTACCCTGCCACACACCAATAGCTGCTAGCAACCTGGTGTCTTTGTTTCCGTCAGGATCTTACCGTCGGTCTTTGCCTCAGCCTGGTTTCACCCAATCAGTCATCAGCCTCTTGCATTGCCCGGCGGGGCGTAATAGCAATACACGGCCCCAGCTCTGTCAGGTGCGAACTGGCGAGCCGAGTGGTGGTGGCAGCCGTGCCGTCAGGGGGTGACCTTGGGGTGGTCGGTGGAGCGGCGGTGCCCCTCCGACCACTGCGAGGCGCGTCTGGACATGCCGGGCGCGGTGAGCACCGGCAGCAGCAGCTCCTTGTGGCTGGCGGCCAGGTGGTGCACCAGCTCGCTGAAGGCCAGCGTGTCCATCCGCTTGGCGATGTTGCAGAGCAGGAACCAGTCGTACACGGTGCACTGCTCAAACACCTGGCGGCCGTCGTCGCGGAACTCGTTTAACATCAGCGCCAGCAGCACGTTCCGCCGGACCTTCGGCACGGCCAGCGAAACGACGCGGAAGAGGCCGTGTGCAACCGTCACGGAAGCCAGCAGCGAGACCCACAGCCACAGGAACACGAACAGCTTTTCGTTGAAAACGTTGTGCGGCAGCACGCAGACGGCGTCGATGCGCTCGATGGTGCCTGAGTAGCCGTACCTGAGGAAGGTGCACTTGGCGACCGGCGGGAACACGGTGTCCGCGCTGCCATCATTGTGCGCAAGACCCAGGAAGGTGGCCAGCCGAACCGCACTGTGCCTGCCGAAGTCGACGCCGAGGAAGGCGTCCAGCAGGAAGATGTTGCCGATGACGTTCAGGAGGCACGCGAACTCGACAACGAAGAATGCCTTGACCAGGCCCTGGTTGACGCGTCCCATGCGAGCTGAGAGGTAGCCCGCGAAGGAGATCAGCTTGGTTGAGCTCCCGTGCATCGTCGTGTCCGGCATATCCAGCTGAAAGCTGAAGCAGTTGCGCAGCACGTTACCGCTCATGTGCTTCCACACTGTGAACGGCATGTAGAAGGTGAGCGCCTGCAGGGCGAACACGAACGGTACCCATTGGTAGTAAGAGTGATGCCTCGCTTCGCCGCCCTGGCCGAGGCCGGCCGGCGCCTCATCAGCGGCGGCGCCGCCGGAGCCCTCCACGCTGAATGTCGCCGCCACGTAGCAGTAGCTGTTCATAACCTGGCGCGGCACACTTGAGTCGGTAGTGCACTCGATCGGCTCGCCGGCCAGGCTGCGGGTGGACACGACGAAGGCGAACAGCAACAGGATGCGAGCGGTGACGCGGTAGTGCAGCCGCAGCACTAGGTTGTCCATGCGGGGCTCCGCCTCGCGCGTGTGCAGCAGCGCACTCAGCTTGGAGAAGGCCGGCAGGATAGGTCCGGCCATCCTGCTGCTGGCGCGGCGCCCGCCCTTGACTGTGGGGCCGGAGGCGGGGGCAGCCAGTCTGGACGTGGGCGCTTCTCCGGGTCACACCGCCGGGTCACGAGCCGGAGCAGCGTCTTGCGCGCGGCAGGAGCGCCTCCGAGCGCAGGACCGGCGCCCGTCAGCCCTGGATCCTCTCTGCGCCCGCCACGAGACACCCTCGCGTAATGGTGCGCTGTCGTGCCGGGAAAGATCGAGTCGCGTCCACGTGCTTGACGCCGTGGTCGGGT